AGAGTGTTCAGTTACGGCTGCTATCACTTAGCAGTAGAACCACTCAGAGTTGAAGGAGTGCGTAACGAGTATGAAAAGCCATCATCAGATTTTCCTGATTGGAAAAGTCACCATGACGACAGGAAGTGCGTATTTCACCCACTGGAACTAGAGATTTAATGAAGAAATGCAAAAAAATGAAAGAAAAAAAAAGGAGAATGTGTTTAAAAGAGAAACGGCGCTAAAGCTGCCAAGGAGAGAAAGATGGAGAACAATGTTGATCTAGTTAATATGTTTATATGAACGGGGCTATGGCAAGCCGTTTTTACATTTATTCAAAGCACTCTCCTCTCTGTTTTTCTATTTATAGATCACTAAATTAAGATTCATCCTGATCAAAATCACTCCTAGACTGAACTGTAATAGATTTTCTAAAATACACTAGGGCTGCTCCATGTTTATCGTGTTTCTGCTCGTTAGAAGCGACTGGCGCGATGTGTTGACGTCTGTACGATGCGTTCAATGGTATCACGTAATTAAGCGGGTCGACACGGCTCTGGTGTTCTCAGTGTGCCGACCAGAGCAGAGACACGCGTCAGTGAGCTGTTCCCACTGCCTCTAAAAGCGGTTTGAACCGGTTTTTCCCCAGTGAGGGAGGGTTATAGCGCTTCTTTTAGCATCTAATCATTTTAAATTTTTTAAAAAAGAGTTTTTAGTTGTCTGAGGTCTTTGTTCAGCCTTCCTAACGTCCAGCTTTAGGACGCGTCAGGAAATGGCAGCAACCACACAGCTGGTTTGGAACGATGAAACCGGCTGGTATTCCTATAAATGGAGCTAATGCTTTAGTTCTACGCACGGTCCATGTAGGGCTCCTCCTGGTCTTCGTGCTCCTCATCCTCGCTGCCGCCGTCTCCCAGCAGCATCTCTCTCTGTTTTGACACAGCCTTGGAAGCAGCCTGCCTCACCGTCCGCTTTCGACTGACCTCCTTGTCATCGTCGCTGTCATCTGTGGACAAATACAGGCCTGTTAGGCTGCAGCTCATCACTACTGGCTTAAACTGATAGAAATTTACTCCTTAGATCTACCTAATAGGGAAAAGAAGAAGGAGGAGGATTATTATACAGGGTTATTGCACAGGATATTAAACAGTAATTGCTCATTCTTTATTGCAGGTGTTGCAGTAACAGCATCTCGCCGTAGAGTCTGAATGAACTTCGCTACACGGCAGAGATAAAAGCCGAGTCCTCGTCTTTAGCCGCCTTCATGCTAACCTGGAGCCCTCTGCTGGTTGCTGTCCTCCTGACGCCATTTAAACCTTTTAATCAATAATCCTCTGTGGTTCCTTTATTTTTATTGGTTAGAAACTGATAGAAAAAATAAAAAAAACACACATTCGATCTGAAAAACGTCCCAATGATCTTAGGAGCTATGCTGTCTGGGGGCTTTATGCCCCCTGGTAGGGTCACCCAAGGCAGACAGGTCCTAGGTGAGGAGTCAGACAAAGAGAAACCCAAAGACCTGCCGGACGCGGGTCACCGGGGCCCCACTCTGGAGCCAGCCCTGGAGGTGGAGCCACGCTGGCGAGCGCCTGGCGGCCGGGCTTTTACCCATGGAACCCGGTCTGGCACAGCCCGAAGAGGAAACATGGGCCCCCCCTCCAATGGGCTCACCACCTGTAGGAGGGGCCAAAGGGGTCGGGTGCATTGTTTGATGGATAGCGGTCGAGGGCGGGGGCCCTGGCGTTCTGGCCCTCGGCTGAAGAAGCTGGCTCTTGGGACATGAGATGTCGCCTCTCTGGTGGGGAAGGAGCCTGAGTTAGTGCGCGAGGTTGAAAGTTTCCAACTAGAGATAGTTGGACTTTCCGCTACGCATGGCTCTAAAACCAGACTCCGTGAGAGGGGCTGGACATTCTCCCACTCTGGAGTTGCCCCTGGTGAGAGGCACCGAGCTGGATGGGCATTTTGTTGCCCCCCATCTCGGCGCCTGTACGTTGGGGTTGACCCCGGTGAACCAGAGGGTCGTCTCACTCAGCATACGTGTGGGGGGACGGGTTCTGACTGTTGTTTGCGCTTATGCACCAAACAGCAGTTCAGATTACCCACCCTGTATAGAGTCTTTAGAGGGGGTACTGCAGAGTGCCCCTCCTGGGGACTCCCTTATTCCTCTGGGGGACTTCAACGCTCATGTAGGCAATGACAATGAGACCTGGCGAGGCGTGGTTGGAAGGAATGGCCCACCTGACCTGAACTCGAGCGGTGTTCTGTTGTTGGACTCGTCATGGATCGTCCATAACGAACTCCATGTTCAAGCATTAGGGTGTCCATATGTGCTCTTGGCACCAGGACACCCTAGGCCGTAGTTCAAGGATCGACTTTGTTGTTGTTTCATCTGACCTGCGGACGCATGGCTTGGACACTAGGGTGAAGAGAGGGGCGGAGCTTTCCACCGACCACTACCTGGTGGTGAGTTGGCTCCGATGGTGGGGGAGGACGCTGGTCAGACCTGGTAGGCCCAAACGTATTGTGAAGGTTTGCTGGGAACGTCTGGCAGATTCCCCCGTGAGAAGGAGCTTTAACTCCCATCTATGGCGGAGCTTTGAACACGTTCCGAAGGAGGTGGGGGACATGAGTCTGGATTACGGGTAAATACACTTCTTTTAGGAAATTTTAACTTATTTCTAGATGTTTTTTTCCAGTGCAGGGAATGTCTGTTTATTCCCACATGTAGTGATGGGATACCGCCATCTTAGAACGGAGGAAATAACCGTCAGGATGTGAAATAAAGGTTCATCTACCTGCAGCCCGTTTTCTCTTTGGGCCCCTCTTGCTGCTCTTCTCCACCTTGACTTTCTTTGCCTTCTTCCCTCTCTCTTCCTCGTAGTCGCTGCCTCCTTCCTCATCCTCCTCTTCACCAAAGTCATTGTCTTCTTCCTCCTCGCTGCCAAAGTCATCTGCAACACCATAGGAGAGGAAGTCAGAGAGTGAGCAGGACGGCGCGGCGATCGCAGCGTGAAACGCCGCCTTACCTGCTGAATCGTTTTTAGATTTGGACAGCTTCTCATCAGAATCCTCACTGTGTAAAAAGAGACAGATTAGATTAGATTAAAGCTAAACCAGATGCAGCGTTCCTCGCCGAACGCCCTCTGACATCACACCCGTTTCTAAGAGCCAGGTGACGTCTGGCCACATGGAGACGCGTTTAGATGGAATCAGCTCCTCTGGTCATTCAGGTTCATTTAGTAGAAAAATAAAATCAGATCACAGACAAAAAACAAAACTAAAGTCATTTCAAAAACTTAAAATGCTTAAAAAAAAACAATCGAGGAGGAATGGGAGGAAACTGGAGTCACTGTCTGAGTCCGAACTGTAAGAAAGGCTTAAAGGAAAAGGGATTTCTATCCAGGAAAGCATCATCAACACCTAAAGTCAGAACGGGCTGAGGAGAAGCAATGGTGGACTGAGGATGACTGGATGGAAGTCATTCAGTGATGAATCTCTTATCAGCGTTGGATGATGCTGGAACTTTGGTCCAATGAGACTTTTTAAGAGGAGAACCTGAACAGGACCTGCTAATGTCCACAGTCACTGATGGCTGCCGTTACATCTTCAATCAATGAACAAGTTTACATTGAGAATTTGGACACACTTCTCATCCCATCAGTTGAAAGGATGTTTGGGGATGATTAAATCAGTTTGCAGCTTGCCATAAAGCAAAAACTGTGAAAACATTACTTAAAAAAACAAAATAGGTCGATGTGATGGTCTGCAAACAGCCCAGATCTTATGATGAGGATCCAACCAGCAGGGAGAGCTGGAGCCGGACTGAAGAAGAGTCCCGAGGAAGATTCTCGATAGAGTCCCGAGGAAGCGTCCCGAGGAAGAGTCCGGAGGAAGAGTCCCGAGGAAGAGTCCCGATGAAGAGTCCCTAAGAAGTCTCGATGAAGAGTCCCAAGGAAGAGTCCCGAGGAAGAGTCTCGATGAAGAGTCACGAGGAAGAGTCTCGAGGAAGAGTCCTGTTTGTCTCTCATTAACGACCAGCTGTTAGAAAAGGTGCTGCGACTGAACACTAGTGATGAGTTGAAGCGTTCTGTAGTTTTTTCCCTCTGCTTGGTGTACCGGTAATAAAGTAACCGTTACTGAAAACCATGTTTTATAATTCTATTTCTTTTATTCGTTCTTAAAGCCAGAAAGTTGCAGTTTGAAATGACTTTAGTTTAGTTTGTGGTGATCTGACAGTTTTCTACTAAATGAACCGTCTGAATGAAGAGAGGCGGGTTCCTCCAGCGTGTTTCCAGGGCTTATAAATGTGAGCTTTGCCGTTAAAGAAGAGGCAGGAGCAGAGGCTCCCACCTGTCCTCACCTGTCATCCTGTGAATTCTTCGAGCGCTTGTGCTTCGGCTCACGAGGGGGTGGGCGCACCTTCTTAGGCTTGTCCTCACTATACTCCTCATCTGCAGATGGATAGAAAAAGCAGAAGATCTGCTCATCATGCCTTCCGGGCTGCATCTTACTGTTTTTATTTGAATTAATCTGAATTATTCATCCTCACTAATTGTAAAAGAATATATTCATTTTACATTTAATTTTATACATTTTACATTTAAGATCAAAAATCTTTCCTCTCCACCAATCTGCTCTAAAATCAGAACTACTCAAAGTAGAAAAGTTAAAGTTTCATTTAATAAATAATCAGATATCATATCAGATTAATGGATTTGCTGAATAATGGTTAGTTGCAGCTCCTGACAGGTTAGAGTCCTTTAGGGAAACTGCGTCGGCCAATCAGTGACCAGATTAGCGCTAACTAGCTGTGACCAAGCTAACAATCCATTAATCTGGATTATAAATTCTGTTTGGACGTGTGCAGAAGCAGAAACTGCTGGAATATTTATGAACAGCTGACTCCTTTATCACTGCAGTACCGCCTCTCTACCACTGGCGGCGCACTCCAGCAACGAGCAGCGCCCCCAACAGCTCACCCAATGATTTACTGGGGCAGTCTAAATCAATAAGGTTCTTCCATGCTCCGATTCCAACATTCCTAATAAGAGGGGGGACTCTGGGATTCTGGCGTTGCTCACCTGCATCGTCGGACTCGTTGAATTGTGAGTAGTTCACCACTTTCCTGTTCCTGTGGACATAAATGCAGACATTGGGTCAGATCTCTGGCTGAAGGAGCTCCTCCTCATCAAGGCCAGGAAACAGAAACTGGGACAGGATGCATCAGCGGGTTATTCAGAGCTCCTGTGCTTTCCAGGGTTACCGTGGTTACCTGGAGAACTTTGGATCACGCAACACACGTTAGTAAACATCAAACCACATTTATGAAATCAGCTAATTAAAGTCTAGCTCAGCCAACACACCATCACTATAACGAGTTATGTTATAGTGAAGTCACGGATTGTAGGACCTCAGCAAACGGGCTGCTTCTTCAATTAAATCTGTTTTCCATTGGAAATGAACTAATTATAGTTTAAGTCGCCTTCGTTCATTCTCCCCTCACTATGGAGCAACAGAACAGCAGCACTACAGTAATAGTGCTGCTGTTCACATTGAGCCGTGAGTAAAATGATTTAATATGTATTAGTTTTAAAAACAAGCGGTGATACCAGCCCTGACCAATCAGTGACCAACAGTCCTCTGACATCACCTCAGAGCGCTTTGCTCCACCAGTAGAAATGGATCCTCATAGCGCTGACTGAGACTGACAGGTGGAAACTGGGAAACACTAACCAGTGGAAACGCTCACC